TAAGTTCTAAGGTCTCACTCAGTATAGTTACAAGGGCTGTCCCACCCTTCAAACCGAAACGCATTACTGCTTCACGGCAGAAATATTGAACAACAATTGAACGGTAGAACAACAATTGTTTAATATACTATTCAATAGAATTTATGAACAAACTACCTCACTTCTTTTCTACTTGAACGTCCGTTTGGTGTAGTGGTAAGTGACATGGTCACTACACTAGAGGGTCGCGGGTTCGAATCCCGCCAAGGAAAGATATTTGTATGATAAATATAAATGTCTTTTCCAGGGTTATGGGTGTATATTCAATTTATGTATGTGTATAATAAAAATCTTACATTTATATCCGTTATCTGGTACCTGTAACACAAGTTCTTTACGAACTTATCACGGGACCAGTTAACGTGGCGTGATTGTTAGTAAAATATTTATATATTTATGTATTTACTATAAATCATCGACTTCATCATTTTTAAACAACATGCCATCATATGTTCCTCACCTCAAACCTCAAAGCTTAAATACATTTCTGCTTGACCTCACGAATAGGTGAGAAATTGCTACCCGTTAAAACATTAATCAAACATAAATGAATAGTTAAATCAGTATTTATGGAGACGTTATATGACACCGCTTTTCATTGGGACATTAATATCAAACTGAGTTCCTCGTAGCGCGCCCCTGAGAGCATAGTACAGAATTTAATATTGATACGGTCGTCGGTATTATGAAGATTTTTATGTCACCGGTTGCGGACAGACGCGAGTCGGTTTAATGCTTTTAAACTCTGCGGCGCGATCGTTAATAACGGTCGGTGCTATCCGATATTCGATTATGTATTTTAAAAAAAGTTCGCTTTCAAATAACCAGAGGGCTCCGTAGGATGATCATAACGTGACGCTGCAATTTCAGCCTAATAAGATAAGATAAGATAGCCTTTGTTAACAATCTAATTTGTACTGGTGGTAGGACCTCTTGTGAGTCCGCGCGGGTAGGTACCACCACCCCGCCTATTTCGCAATGAAGTAGTAATGCGTTTCGGTTTGAAGGGTGGGGCAGCCGTTGTAACTATGCTGAGACCTTAGAACTTACATCTCAAGGTGGGTGGCGCATTTACGTCGTAGATGTATTTGTGCTCCAGTAACCACTTAACACCAGGTGGGCTGTGAGCTCGTCCACACATTTAAGCAATAAAAAAAAATTAAGTTACATTTTTAATACACTTAGTATCTAGATTTATTATTCGTCACCGGTTTCTTGATCGTTTTGCTGTACAGCATAGGCCTCCCCAAGAGTTCTCCATAATATTCTATCCTGCGTTTTTCTCATCCAAGCCGTTCCTGTCTCTTTTTTGATGTCATCTCCCCACCTACGTTGCTGTCATCCTCTATTTCACTTTTTATATCTTGGACAGCATTCTGTCACTCCTTTGATCCATTTTTCTGTTTTATCTCGTTTATTTCAGGCTAATGATTATTTGTTACTGGCTGACCCGGTAGACTTCGTAGTGCCTCAATCGATAAATAAAAGACCTAAGCTTTTGTATAAAATAAAAAAGTGTGTGTGTCCGCTCCGACGCACGACTGGAGTTTACTGGATATAAAAAATTAAACGAAACAATACGAGAAATAGTTCTATATTACGACAACACGATACACTACAGATTATTAACAAATTAACGAGACACAAAACAAACGACTAACAAATATATGAAAATACAATAATGAGAGAAACGCGCGATCAGTACGAGGCTTTGTGGCGGACTGCCGGCGCAGCAGCCCGGCGTCACCTGCGATAACGCGGCCGCGCGTTGGCTCCTGATTGGCGCGCGCACGCATCACGCAATCAGGAGCCAATCAGGCGCATAACGCATTTCGTGTGACATGCTAGTACGATTTTGGTCCCCATAATTTTCATACCCCGGGCCTATATATGTAAATCGATTCTAAAGGAGTAAACTCCAATAAACTCCAAAAAATAAATTTAAAACAAACAAAAGGAATCCGTCTGACGGGGTACACATCAAAGGAAAAACAAAATTGTTATTTTTATTTTATTCCGAGCAGTTCCATATTTATTTACCTTTTAAATCTTCTCTGGACTTCCACAAATAATTCAAGACTAAAATTAGCCAAATCGGTCCAGCCGTTCTCGAGTTTTAACGAGACTAACGAACAGCAACTCATTTTTATATATAGAGATAATATAGATTTCGCGCACCGGAAGACGTAGCGTGGGTAGGCCTCCCATAAGATGGATCGACGATCTATTGAGGTTCACGGGAATCCGCTGGATGTAGACAACGCTGGACCGGTTTTTGTGGCGTGGCTTGAAAGAGGCCTAATACTATGTCCAGCAGTGGACGTCTGTGGGCTAATAAGAAGAAGGGGATTATTTTTCGGAACGTTCACAATGGTTTAGTCATTGTTTTGCGTTGCAGCGTAGTGTTAATAACGTTGCTCGCATCCTGAGATTTAGGTTCGAGTATCAATTGACCATCGAAATATGCATGTAGTTCTTACTTCGAAAGCCTGTCATCGTAGCCATCTCGGACTACACATCCGACTCAGGCGACGGGGCAACGCAAAACATTACGGATCTTCCGAATCCAGTCTCACTGCTTTTAGGCACTTCAAGCACCAGTCATAGTCCTCGTTAAGCTCTTCGAGAGCTCAACGTGCTGCCTAGCCCATAGAGTTTCTCGCCGGATCTGCTCAGTGGGTCGCGATTCCGATCCGTTGGTAGATTCAGCGAATCACTGCTCTTGCTAGGGTCAGTGTTAGCAAATTCTCTTAATTCAGCCCGTAAGCTTACCTACCTATCCAGGCGTTGTTAGAATACCCCTATAGGCAACCTACGATTAAATAGGGAATCTTACTTTAAAAAAAAAGCAGACTGACATTCTGTTTTATTCTAGACGTTACACTAAAATCCTGTATATATTATTAAAATGGCCTCTCATAACTGTCAATTTCATGCAAATCAAACTTTGTAGCATCTTTTTATTGTGGCATAGAAATAAATGTGTCCGAATTTAAATATAGAACAACCAAATTTAATGCGAGTTCGACATATTTTATAGCTCCACAACCTCGTTGTGTAGTACTTGTAATTGTACATACGGGTCAATAAAACAACTGTAGAATAAATAAAGTATTGTTGACATTTTATTGCTTACAATGGAATGTTTACGGATCATCTGACATCAATCACTACGGAACCCGTAGACTCCACAAAGCAAATGCTGCTGTACATCCTGAAATATGAGGTTAAAGTTTAAGTTATTTAATGTCTGTCCCGCACTTGGAACCAGTGCGGGCTCACCTTATATCGACCGATAAGAATCTATTTTCGTAACAAATATTTTCATAAATTATATCCCAGTGTAGCAGCTATAAATGATATATGGTTGAAAAAAAAATACTTTTACACACAAAGGTATTGTCAGTTCTATCATCATAAGCAGTCTTGGAAAATTTTATCACATCGGAAAATCACGTTAATTTTCGAATGAATTGCATTGCTGGGGTTTCGCATTTCATTATATTTTGATTCCAAAGTATCTTCATGAAATGTTTTTGGTTTTGTGAATTATTGGAAATTTTCCTTCCTTTGCCTTTGTATACATTATATTGTAGAGAAGCTCTATTGAATATGATCCTTTTTTTAATTTGTAATTAAAATTCCTTGGAAGATGGCATAGTGCTTGATAATTGAAATGTTAGTTAAGAAGTGAAATCTGATAAAAAAGGTGTAAATTATTAATTAATTACTCTTAATAAGCTAGACTTTTTTTAGAACATCCCTACTTTTGTATAAAATATTAGCAGTTTTAATGAAACAGGAATGAGTGAAATCCTTTGAATAAAATTAGTAACGTCTAATATTGCTTAATAAATGTTCATTAAATTTATCGATTTTTTAAATAAAAATAAATAAAAATCCCAATCAATTTCGATAAATTAAATAGAAACAAACTGCATCAAAACGTAAAACTGTAATTCTAGTCAACGTCTAAAAGTTTAACTCATCTGTGCCCATATACAATGAAAGCGAATACCGATCAAAATTCAGATGATTTTCTCCGAATAGAAGATATTGAGGGAATACCTTATATTAAAATGTAATAAAAGTCCTCTTCGCTAATATAATTCTGCGGCGTGGACCGCGCCTAAGGCGAGTGGAATGTACATGAATTAATTCGGTTAAAAACGGCGGGCTTATTAATATTACTTGCTTTGGGAAAACACACATTTTTATTCAATCCTGACAATCAATGATTTCGATATATTTTATATGGCATAACAAAATAAATGATTTTTTTTAAAAAACTCCACATTACACTCTCTAAAAAAATATGCATATAAAAATATGTTATATTATGTATATTCTGCACCAACTCAATCCGCCTAATATTTAAATGGTTAGGTTTTCCGCTTTACGATAAAAGTTTGAAGTGATTATAGCATTCAGATGAATACAAAATATATTGCAGGCCTCTACAGTGTTACAATCTGAGAATGACTACGAATTACAACAGATAGCTTGATGTGAAGCTTCATTCTACAGTTTTATCCAAAAAAAAATTGCAATTGATGTTACATGATAAAAGCGATGTAAACGATTTTAAACAAAATAATAAAGCTGAAAAGTCCTGCGCTACTATTTTACGTGTGGCATACCTACAATATAATTGAGACAACAACCTCATGTATCAACGTATTTTGCGGCGTCCACGTCTGATATCTGTGGGCTCCGGTAACCGACTAATATAATTCAACGCAAAATGATAGGTGTTATATTAAACGTAATATTTACACATGCGATTATGCGTTTGTTTGGTCTCTTAACGGGCCCGTTTGTAGAATAAAACGCAACTGTCTTACTCACAAAATCATCCCGTATGTTTTCATGAGGTTCGGCGGTAGCTACCCCGCGGCGCTACCGTCGCCCAATCGATATGCCCCGGTTGCCAAGCAACGCTCATGTTGCAAAATAAACAATCAGAATCGGAGGCCGGCCCTTGAACAAATTTACCTTCTTATTTTATTACTTGTGTCAACATTTTAGATCGATATTATCAGATTATTTGCTTGAGACGTTTTTACACTGTGTATCATGTTTTTTTGATTTATTATCGCTAAAATGGTTCTGTTGCCGCCCTGTGTGCCACAGAGCTGCGGAAAGGATTTCAGGAATTCTCTGAAGAAACCGAGCCCTAATTATCCTTATGGCTATAAGACGAGGAAGCCAAGAATCGTTCCGGCTTTTACGATACAAGGTTAGAGGAATATTTTGGTAATGTTTAAATGCGATTTTCAAATGCTTCTGTCATTTTGATCTCAGCATTTTTGTCGTGGATAGTGGATAATGTATACACGGAAGCATTCGGTAGGTTCTCAATGTTTTCGAAGGCTGTCCTCTCGGAAATGTCCTTCCAGATCTGGAATTTCCAGGCGTTTCGAGTACACTGGACCATAATATATAACTAAAATATTTTTGTTGATTGGAAATGCTTAAATAGCCTTTTTCAGAGCCGACTTTCGTAAAAATTAGCTGTTTGACAAATAAATATAATAATATGTACCATTAGATTAAATCATATAACTGTTCATATGACTACAGATTGGGAAAGCTAAATAAATATACTTTGCTTTAAAAATGAAAACATATATTTTTTTCAAAATTATACTAATAACAATATTTGCTATGTGTACAAGCATTACTATAATTTTCATGTTGTATTTATTATTTTAGCTGTTCTACACACACTCATCACTTTTAATTATTATTCTCATAATCCTCTTGCAAGGCTGCTGGAAGAGATTTCTTAAAGAAATAAGCAGTGCCTTTGTACATTATTTTCCTATTACTTTGTCCTACGTCTTGTTTTTTGTGTGTACATAAATAAATAAATAAACTAATATATGCAGTTTTTCGATATAATCTAATACTAAAACAAAATCTAAAGTGGGCATTGTTTCCATAATAAAATTTGTGTGTAGCGACTGTTTCGCTTGCCACTGTATGATTTAAATAAAAAAGGTTCCTATAACGTCTGTTTGTTTCAGCATTACAAAAAAACACAAAAGTAGTGCCACCTCCAAAATGTGGCGTCTTCGATCCCCTGCCTCCGAGACCGACGATGTTCAGAAAATGTTATCAAAGAGGCGAATTTCCCGTCTGCATCGAGTTCACTATTACCGGAAAACAATTGGCTTGGAAGGTTGTTAACCTCAATGTGTTTTATTCTGGTACTGTAAGACTAACTGGGAAAGGCGGTTGGAAAAATGGAGTACATTATAGTTGAAAATACTATTGACTATAGCATAGCCTATGCCATGAGGCCTATTTTAAGCTATTGTTGAATTTTCATGATCGCTATTATTAGAGATTGGTTTTAAAAGGAAACAATATGGCGGTCAAGTGGCAAAATGTTGGAGGCTATTAAATACTCCTGAAAATAGAAAGGATGAATGAATCTAATAATTATTATTTTAGTTTTGTTTCTCGGAAAGCGTGTTTGTGTTTTCTGGTTTTGTACCGTCGTCCTCAGAGTATTATATCAGCGTACCGTGACAGTCGTGAAGCAGTAATGCGTTTCGGTTTGAAGGATGGGGCAGTCGTTGTAACTATACTGAGACCTTAGAACTTATATCTCAAGATGGGTGGCGGCATTTACGTTTAGATGTCTGTGGGTTCCGGTAACCATATAAGGAATAAAAAAATAAGGTTATCAGCATCTAGTGGTTATAGAGCGCAAAATGAATCTGCATGGATGGGTACTACTATCAACCCTGCTTCTGATGAAATAATCCTTCCGGGTGGGACAGTCTAACGACTGTGTCACCAGAACTGAAACCTTGGGCTCGTATCTTAGGGTATATCGACTTTGTCGGTATGGTATCTGTGGGCTTTGAAAGCTATTTGTTGTCAGCTGGGTTGTCAGTCAATAAAAAATATAAGAAGATAATATGATGTAGTAAACTCGCAAGATGTGTGGGTAAATTTATGCTGATGAAACCGAGTGAGGCACAGAGGGTCTACTAGTCTTTGACACAAATAGGAAAACTATATAATACTAGTCGTACTCGCCCGCTTCGTTGGGCATTTAAAACTAACATTATTATTTATTGTCATTATTATTAGGGAGTCCAACACTCACAAATCCATTAAGTACATGTATATTCTACATGGGTACCAAGTTTCATGTTTAGCGGATGCACGGCTTAGTAGTTATAACCGAACATCCGTAAAACTTACTGGTGTTAGGACTTTTTGTGAGTCCGCGCGAGTAGGTATCACCCCCCTGCCTATTTCTGCCGTGAAGCAGTAATGCGTTTCGGTCTGAAGGGTAGGGCAGCCGTTGTAATTATACTGAGATCTTAGAACTTATATCTCAAGGTGAGTGGCGCATTTACGTCGTGGATGTCTATGGGCTCCAGTAACCACTTAACACCGGGTAGGCTGTGAGCTCGCCCACCCATATAAGCAATAAAAAAAAAACCACTGTAGATTTATATTATATTAGTATAGATTAAGTAAGGTTATCGTTCATTATTTTTTTCAAGACTGACTGACGACTCAAATCGTCGATGTAGTCTTACGGTCGTTTAATGTTTGTGTCATTAGCGTAATGGCATATATAGGCCACGGTAATGAATTCATATTTCCTTTTGGAAGCGATCTGAAAAAAAAATGTGTAGCTCGCTGTATGGGTATTTATTCACTTTCGAACCATTCATATTTTCCCTTAGGTTCCCATAGAGAAACTGGACTTCCATCACTACCTGCCGATGTTCTTTGACGGCCTAGCCGAGGGCACTTATCCTTACAGCTTCATCGTCGAACGTGGTATTCATGATCTCGTGACTAAAGGCTCGTACAAGATACTTCCCGTAGTCCCGCAGCTAATCATTCCCATAAAAAGTAAGTGCCGGTTTTTTATTTGTTTAAGAGGCCCAGCCCATTCCGGGGTGAGTGGTTACAGCGTTTGAAGAAGGATGTTATTCATTTTTGACAAGCGAATAAAATATCGGATAGCTGATGTCCAAGAACAACAGTAACAATTCGCAATTTAATCTGCTTTTGATTGTAACAAAATGCATCAGGTGTCAGGAGCGGGAGCCAATAGAATAACGCGGTATAGATAGCCTGAAGATATGCACCTATACCGTACCTGGTGTTATTTGGTTACTGGAGCCCATAGACATCTACAACGTAAATGCGCCACCCACCTTGAGATATAAGTTCTAAGGTCTCAAGTATAGTTACAACGGCTGCCCCACCGTTCAAACCGAAACGTATTACTGCTTCACGGCAGAAATAGGCAGGGTGGTGGTACCGACCCGCGCGGACTCACAAGAGGTCCTATCACCAGTAATTACGCAAATTATAATTGCGGGTTTGATTTTTATACTCGATGTTATTCCTTCACCGTGGAAGACAATCGTGAACATTTGTTGAGTACGTATTTCATTAGAAAAATTGGTACCCGCTTGAGATTCGAACACCGGTGCATCGCTCAACACGAACGCACCGGACGTCTTATCCTTTAAGCCACGACGACTGTCAAAGATAGAAGACTAAAATTTTTAACAAAACCCAGACACGAAGATCTTAACGTACAAACACATCACAGGTGGTTTCAAGTTAATTTTCAATTATTTGTAATCAGTTAGCTATTTAACCCTAACCCACTAAAACCATTAAAAGCCACTAAAGCTCTACTCCTAATTCAAGTTTGAAATTTTAGATGCCTTGGCGACGAAGCGCCCCGCAGTCATCTGTCACGCCCTAAAATGCATTCAAATGATTGTGACGGGGTCTGATAGGGTCGGTGAAGCCCTTGTCCCTTACTACAGACAGATCCTACCGGTACTAAACTTGTTTAAGGACAGAAATCGTAAGTACTAATCTACTAGATTTAAAATATTGTAAAGCCCTTCTTTACTATTTTCAATTGAAATATTCCGAGTTTATACATATTTTACGATTACGAATAATAGTAGGTTTGGATCGCGAGCTTAATTTGTAAGTTTTAAGGTTTTACTATAACTATGACTACAACTATACCATTTTACTACTGATGTTTATTAACAATGCATAAATTGTTTGTTAATAAATATTAGCAGTAAGTCAGTGGCTCATCTTGTTAATGAAAAGTTTCTGACATATATTATTATTTTTTTATATTATTGTTTCTGGGAAATTTATCCATGTTTACCTCGCGTCACGGCATCATATTGTTGATAGTTCAAGCAGTTTATATTATGTAATTTGATCTAAAGTAACCCAATATTGATTCTTGGTAGAAACAAACAGGAAAGTAAATTCAGAATACACGGTACTATGAACCGTCCGAACCAAAATGAGAGTCAAGCCAAGTCTCGCAAGCCGTGTAAAATCAGATCCTTTGTAACTACTCTCTCTCTCTCTGTTACTCTATCTATCTAGGTCATAAAATAAAAAAATCTTATCCATAATTAAATAAAGCAATAAAAAATCCTGAGGATGGTATGGCACTTGTTAAATGTTCAAGCAACCTTTAACGACAAACAATTCCCGAAACGCTACGTTGTCGCGAAATGAGCGAAACTTGGTGAGCGCATGACACCCCAGCCGCAACTATTTTGCAACAAGAGAAAATGGGCTGCAACCGTTCTAAACACACGGGCGACGAAAAAGTCGTTTCGATAAAATTAATTGGAATGCTTGAGAAATACCTTTGCGATAGTTATTGAAATATTTCTAATTTGATAGAAAATGCAATTATAATAATTTTTCGTCTTTTTCAATTTTCAAGGTTATGTTATAAAATAATAAACTTAATGGTCTTAATTATCGCGATAAATAGTATTAATAGTACATCTGGAATGACCGGGAATAGGGTTAAATTAAAAAAAAAAATTAATTTAAATTTTTTAATTAACAAAATAAGCACTCAAAATATTTTTATAAAAAAACAAAGTTGATATGAGCCAAATTTCTTTACAAATTTCTGAATTTGTCCAATTCTTTAACAATGAAAAGGATATAAATGCGCTTTTCAAATCGCTCGTCTGCAAGACGCATTGAACAAAAACCGGTAGCCGATGGGGTTCGTCGAATTCCCGTAACAATGCGCGGTCAGGTGTCAGACCACGTTGAGTGGCACGCCGCTCGTGTGACGTGACACGAAATCAGTTAACTTTTACGTTATCGAGAACGTTAAAAACTCACACTGAGGACACCGTACTGATACAACAACGTTTAGGGACGTGGGGACATATCGTAACCCGATTTACTGTGCTAACAATGTTTTTTGATGTGTCTTTATGGCATTGTAGATTTTATTTCTTTGACTTTCTCAAAAAATAATAAATTATTAGATCTGCGACGTTGGTTTAAATGTCGAAAACACATTTTCATTGTCCCTTAAAATTCCTTTAAATAAGGAAGTTATTGATTTAATAAAAATTAAGTTATTACTGATTTTCGTTCAAAATAATTAATATATGAAATATTTCAATGTATTTTTGCTCTATATAAATATTTAAGGTTGCTTCAAAATATGTGAAAAGTGTTGCGATTTGAGTATTCCGTTTTTATTTCAAACAATATCGATTTTACGTGCCCCACACTATTTTACTTTTGTAATTAATCTACTCGGGATGTTCTGACAAGTCTATTAGGTCGAAAACAATATGTCGACGTCTGGCGTTCGCGCGTGTCAATTATTTTGAGCGCCGAGAATGATTGATGGCAGTCAATTGAGATGCGAAACCGTGTAACCAATATAGACGCTGTCGAGATTCCAACCAAAAGTATCGTTGGGAATCGTACAAATATTTTCAGATACAATTTTAGCTTTTTACTAGTAGTGCTGTGATGTGGACATGCTTATTTCTATGACACTCTAAAGATAGGAATTACTATGATAATGTCGAACTTACTGGTGATAGGACCTCTTGTGAGTCCGCGCGGGTAGGTACCACCACCACGCCTATTTCTGCCGTCAAGCAGTAATGCGTTTCGGTTTGAAGGGTGGGGCAGCAGTTGTAACTGTACTTGAGATCTTAGAACTTATATCTTAAGGTGGGTGGCGCATTTACGTTGTGGATGTCTATGGGCTCCAGCGACCACTTAAAATCAGGTGGGCTGTGAGCTCATCCACTTATCTAAGCAATAAATAAATAAAAACTTAGATCTACTATATTGATTTGAACTTCGCATCTCTTGATACGCGTACGTTGGGTGCCTAATTCTTAAGGCGATGATTATATTTGTCTGTATTCATAAAGAATCTCAGCTCTATTCTACTTAAGGCTATGTTCTTAGGAAACATGGGGTCCGGTATCGATCACACGACGACGAGGGGCGAGAACGTTGGCGACCTCATCGAGGACACGCTGCAGATATTGGAACGCTACGGTGGTCCGGACGCATTCATAAACATTAAATACATGATACCGACCTACGAGTCTTGCGTTTTGAATTAGCATGGTTCTTTTTTTTTTTGCGTGAGCAATTTTTATTATGTGAGCAATCGATGCTGACGATTTTTTTTTACTACTATAATTTATTAGCTACAGCCTAGTTTGTTGATAAATTTAAAATTTGCGACGTAAAATGAAAATAGGTATTTTCGAATCATTTTTTTTTGTTGATGAGAAATTCGTGAATTGCTTGAATATTAATATTGTTTCGCTCAAGTATGTTTTTTTCACTGTTAATTCACTAAGTACTAGTCTTATGACGTAATAAGTTTTTACTGCTAAACTAATTACAGTATTGCTTAGGTTTTAATGTTAACATCGAAAAAAATTCACGATTTTTTATTTTATTTTTAAACAATACTTGTAGGAGCAGCATGAACAAAATTATAAATTCATCGAATTCAGAGGATCCTTTCAAAGTTTTCTTCGAAATTTATTGTATATGATAAAGGAACGAACCATTAAATTCTGTAAAAAGTAGACGAGCCTTGTTAACAGATCGAAAGTAAATGAATGATGTAAAATAATTTAATGATAATAATGATTGTACTGTGATTCTGTATTGCAATATTATAATTTATAATTAAAATTATGTTTAAAAACTGTTATTAGTTTTAGTAAGTTTTGTTTGATACGCTTTTTACGAATGTTTTTATTTAATAATAAATTGGTTGTGAAAAATATTTGATTTTAAATTTCCTTCAATGATTCCGACATCATTGTCATTCGTATACTTCGTATAGTTATACATATTTACCCAAATAATTGGTGATTTACACCAGCTGATACCGGAACAGACTGGGGATAGACTGATACCGGAAAGATATGAGTTCTAAGGTCTCAATATAGTTACAACGGCTGCCCCACCCTTCAAACCGAAACGCATTACTGCTTCACGGCAGAAATAGGCGGGGTGGTGGTACCCACCCGTGCGGACTCACAAGAGGTTCTACCTCCAGGAAGAAAGGTGGGTGGCCGCACTTACGTAGTATATGTCTATTGGCTCCGGTAACCACTTAACACCAAGTGGGGTGCGAGCTCGTCCACCCATCTATACATTAAAATAAAAATACAAACATACATACATTTTGGATACTGCATAAGAGGATAACAAATGAGAGTTTCTAGTAGGTGCTCTTGAAATCTGCGACGATCAATCTCGTGCTAAGCCTGGATCCAATCAATAGTCTCTGCCCACTAAGTTAAACAGTGGAGCGGCTTTATCAAAAGGGTCCCTGCAGTCAATGTTTAGATCAGCCGGGCAAAAGCAATTTACAGCCTGGCAACCAGAATTCAGAGCCACGCATGCATGCAATTTGCATTGCATGATGTTAGGGATGCTGGATCAGAATTTGGGGATGAATTTTAAAACATTCAATAGCTTTGAGTTCGGACACGTGTATCGCAGATTAGCCCACGGATTGCTTAGCGTTAAAAGGTTATAGGAACACTACGAAAATAAACAGTAAAATATAGTTTTTTTTATTGCCGTATAGGCAGACGAGCATACGGCCTGATGGTGAGCGGTTACCGTCGCTCATGGACGCTCAGCAATGCCAGGGGCAGAGCCAAGTCGCTGCCTACCGTTTAATACTCTCCACAAGCCTCGTTTGAAGAAGGACATGTCATAGCTCTCGGGAAACACCGTGGAGGGGAGCTCATTTCATAGCCGGATAATTTAAAAAGGAGTCGGTGATAAGAGCTACGGACTAAAGTGAAAACATCTGATATAAAAGTTTTACTGAAAAATCTCAAACCATGAAGGTTCTATGTCAATTCGAAGTACCTATTACGACAGAACGGCAATTTCATACTTTAACCCCTATTATTTCTCTAATCCCAAATTTTGTGCATTTGGCTATTAGTCGGCATCTTAACATGCTCGCCCATATCTACGTCGAATTCGGTATCTGTCGAAATTAAATCGTCGCCTGCAGCTTCAGAGGAGTACGGCTTAAGTTTCACGCTTTCCACCCCTCACGGTACCATCGACGTAATTTGGCTGTAAAATTGCATCAACGATCCTTGAGTGAGAAGAGATTTGAGGTGAGAATGTTTATGAAAATGCCGAGTTTTGATAAATTATGACTACTCCGAAAGTTTACAAAATCAATTAATATACGTAGCTTGTTAATGACTTAGACAGACTTTTCAGATAACGATTAATCAATAATTGATATTTTTTTAAACCAGGACCTTTAACTTTATATTTTATTTATTTAGTGCTTAGATGGATAGACAATCTTACAGCCCAGCTGGCGTTAAGTAGTTACTGGAGCCCATTACATTTACAACGTGTATGTGCCACCCACCTTGAGATATAAGTTCTAAGTCAGTATATTTACAACGGCTACCCACCCTTCAAACCGAAACGCATTACTGCTTCACGGCAGAAATAAACGGGATGGTGGTGGAAAACTTATATTTCGTACTAATAAACTCTAGAAGGCTCTAAAGACCACGATGAAACTTCAAAATATCGTATCTTTCTCATAATATGAACTACGTGACATCGAAGCTCTAAAGCTCAAAAGCTATTGATCCTTCACGTTTTGATTCACACACTCACTCAAATGGTAAATGTGAGAGGAACAAAATTGTATGAAAAAGACACTGTTAAGAATTATCTCAATAAACTAGTCTTGCAAATATTTTATTGATTTCATTTATTATTATTTTTAATATGGGTACAGATTATAATGTTAACAATGCTATTTTTAATGTTTGTAACATTTTAATGAGCTTAAACCAATCTGTATCTGCAAGCTGAAGATATTTGCACTTTTTTTTATTAAGCGTGTCGACTTAATAACAATAAAGATAACAAAGAAAGAAAACTTAGAATAGATTTGGCATTGCTGACGTCCATGAGCGACGGTAACCACTCACCATCAGGTGGGCCGTACGCTCGTCTGCCTACACGGCAATAAAAAAAAAAAATGATAGCGGCACGATTTGTGTCAATATTAAGCAAGAGTTCACACAAAAAACCTTAATAAATCCGTAGTCTGCAAATATATAAATTCAGGTACGCAAAAAAAAAAAAACTAATTTGTCCGACAATATTAAAACTTGGAAGTACAGTCGAATAGTTTCAGAACGAACTCCTTGCTAAAATTACCGTCTTGATTGCTCCCAAGATAAATTATTTCAGTCTTAAAGTCATTTCTTGCATTGATGTAAAATAATGGATGCGACTTTTAACATTTGAAGTTATTTAAGTTTATGGTTCTCACTATTTTCCGAATTAAAAAAAAGAATAAGGAGAAGAAAGAAGAAAGAAAGCAGTTTTTTTAACTTAATTGAAGCCAGTGTTAGAAATTTTAGTATTAAAGAAATTACATATTGAAATATAACCATTTCACTATGCTACTGACGATAGCAACAGGGTGATTGAAGAAAAAAAACCTTCTTTGTGCTTATTTCGGTTGCAACGTAAGAAGTAAGATAAGATAGGATAGTACTGTTTTTATTCCAATATAATTAAACCTTCAAACAAATAATAATAGCAACATTAAATAAATAGTTGTAAATAGACATGCTTTAACAAAAACAGACTTCAAATAGAAAAAAAGATATTCTAAAACAAATTACTAAAAACAATAATCATCGAAATCGGTTGGCGTGATATTGAGCTATTGAGCTATTCATCTATTTGTGGCACACGTACTTAATGCAAATTTAAGGCTTATATGGTTTTCTCGTGAATACCATTATCAGAATTGGACTAAATTAAAATGGGACGACACGTGAAGCGTCAGCTTTGAAATAAAAAAAGAATCATCAAAATCGGTTCATGGAGTAAACAGTTATGAGGTAACAAACATAAAAAAAAACATACCAAAAACAAACCTCCTCCTTTTTTGAAGTCGGTTAAAAAATGGTAATCGCTTTATACCAGACTATGAGCCTTGTATCATTAAACAAAGAAAAAATTACCGTTTTAAATTCAACAACGAATTCGTTCACACAATCACATCTAGTATATATTTACGTCTAGGTACCTCCTTTATAAATGTCGGGCTACTAAAAAGGTGTCGTCTTGGAACCAGACCGCGTCTGCAGCAAGCTGATAAATGTAGTACGAAGCCTTCGGACTTGAGTTCAATTTATATTAATATTTATACATTTTTTGACCCGTGACTTTGGTCTGACGTGAGGTCTCCGGGTGACCTGTACTGACATTGATATGAAAAAAGGATAGGCTTAAAGAGATTTCTTTTAGGATATTATGTTTTTCTTGTAACTTTTTCTTGATAGTTTTATATAACGATTGTATTGCAAAGCTCATTACGGTCAAGAGTATAATTTCGATAATAGTGTTAAACTTTCACCACCGACCCCCAGAGTAGCGTCCATCTTTACTGCTTGTAAGCACTGCGCCCTTTTCAGAGTCTTTCCCTCACGATGTTTCCTCGTCTTTTAAGAAAAGCAATACCCTGCCTCTGTCATTGACTGATGTCCATAACCGACGACCATGGTATACATTCGCCTTCGAAGGTAGTTGAAAATAATCTTCAATCTAAATACATCCATCGTCTTTATTCCTAAACCGTACTTAGCGTTTCTAAGCCTATTAGATTAAATCTTATAAGGTTTCATTGCATGATTTTTTGACGTTTTTTATTCCGAAGTCAGATTTTTGCGCTCGTTCAAAAACAAGATAATAACTATAAATTCTGTTTCAATGAGATCCGTCTTTTTATTAATTACGATGACATTTCTGGAAGTAGTTTCATTAGTTAGGATTTACCACAATAGAAAGAATAGGACATGGCTCACAACCAGTTAAAGCCATAAGATACTACTAATATGAGTCTATCTGATCTTTCATAATGGGATATGAGTATATAGCCCCAGCCACCTCCACCTGCTACGACATCTCCTAGCCAATCTTCTTGTCTTACTCAAACTCAATCGTAGCAGTAGTACTGATTCCTCAATTACCTTTTCCAAATTCTTCCTATCTTCCCATCCGTGATTCAACTGATGGCAGTACCGTATTTTACTGTAAATACCATGGTTAAGCTTATAGATGGCATTTAGGTGAAAAGGTCAGCTATATTAAAATGGCAATAAGACTTTCATCTCCTGTTTTGAGGTGAACAGTGGTGATGAGTTCTGGCTACGTGATGTATTTCCAGGACCACATAATGTCTTTCAAACGACATCTAAGAAGATCTTCGTGATTGATTTTGTTTGTTTGTGATTAAAATATGCTGGTGTCTATGAGTGGTAGAAAACTCTTGAGATCACCTAGGACATCGATATTCAATCAAGCTATGTTCATAAAAATGGGCATGAAATGGATAGTGATTAAACTAAAAGCAATGAAACAAAAAATACTTGTAGTAACAATTTTAAAATGAAAAGCAAACAAAACGGAAAACTCGGATTGTATTAAGACTCAATATTTTCCAATACCATACCATTCAAAAACTATACAAAAGGTTGTATGTATCAGTTAGTTGTTTTATGAAAATCACCGTTCAAACCGTTAAGCACAAAGACTTCTTTTCTTTTTCAAAAACTTGTACTGCAGACGTTACAGTTTTGATGCGATGCAATTTTACACTAATTGAACGGACTAGTGGAAAAAACGTAACAAATAAAATGCAGCATATTTATGGAAATTTAATTGAAAAACGTTACTCAGCTGAGTGGTTTCA